CAGGGCCCACGACCGGCTGGGTTTTGGGAGGTGCCATAGGAAGTAGAAGAGGTCGAGGGAACTCAGGAAAAGAGGTGGAGGGGGCGGTCAGACAAAACAATTTTGGGAGCTGACTAGAGGGAGCCGACGTTTGATCCAGGGAGAGGGGTGCGCTCGGAGGCTGGGACTGGCTCCGTGGAGGGCTGGCATTGCGTCGTCCGACTCCCTCTCCACCTTGTCTCTGGACCTCCGCCGCTGCCTCCCTCCGTGCTCCTCCCGTGGAGGCGGGCTCTCCAACCCTTTGGACCCTCTCCGCCCATGCCTCAAATTGCGCCAGGGCACGCGTACTGGCCCGTTGCGGTGCGCCACACTACAGGGAAGAGGGCGGATTTGGGTGGTGACGGGGTAGTTGTGGGTGTACTCAGGGTGCGTCATAAGCGGAATGCAACAACAGGGAAGCAGGACTCTGAGAAGTGGAAAATGACACACATTCACGGGATTGGCCATGGATAGGATGTCCAATTGAGAGGTGTTACGATCATCGAGACATCCGAGGCTTGCGCAAGAAAAAAACATGTCTCAATACCCTAACCCTAGCCCTGACCCTAATCCTAACCATAACCCTAACGGGAGAAAAAGCTCGACAGGAGAACTACTGACGTAGGTCCATCAGCACGGTCGCTATCCTCCTTTCCTCGAAACATTGGTGCAAATGCCATTCTGCCCTTGTTCTATTCCCCCATCGACCCATCTATATCTCTACTATAATCGTACCGCGCTAGCCTCAAAAATATCCCTGGAGAAAGCTAGACGAGCGCACAGGAACCTCCGCTGCTTAGCCCTAGTCATCCGTCCTTGATCTGGATTTTCTCCCATATTTTGATTCTCAAACGGACATCCTGTTCGGCATGTACAGCACCACGACTTTACGAGCTCTCAGCGCATGGAGCCTGAGCCTGTTGAACAACACCGTGTGTTGGAATTTTATTCGTCAGTGCGTCTGATTTGGGGGCTATCACAAAATGGTCTTCGATTGCCTGCTTCTCATGCCAGGCTCTCAGGTAGACACAAAGGGCATCATCATTTGACGTAACGGCTATCACACCCGCATAGTTGTTTCCTTGGCCCCACTAGAAGTCAACATATACTGCCATGTCTATGTTCCACCTAAAACGTGACGTTAGACGTTAAATTTAACACCTCTCAAGTGGGCAGACCAAAAGAGTTGGCACGTTTTTTGAAAGCTTTGCTCCGTGCTTGATTTTTCCTCAGCTGCTCTTTTCAAAAGTATTTTTTCCAGTTATTTCCAAGACCATCCTCGACAGAAATGGTGAACAGGTCTTAAAGCATCGACCCGCACGGCAACTTGGGAGCTGGCATGTGTCGCCGGGCTAAGCTATATCCGGGTCGCTTAGAACGGAAGAGTGTCTATGTCCTATTGTTTTGAAAACTGCATGTGCCTTGGGTTTCCCCAGGTCTAAGAACGTTTTTACCCATTTGGCGGCATTTCTTTGTCGTGCACGGATCATTTTTTCATTCTTGCGCCCAAGCAAGCTGCGTAATAGATAGCCAACGCCCACTATGGTATCTTAATGCGACTGCTTTTTGCTTTTTATATTGTATTTGCCTAAATCGTTGCATAAGTAATCACTCACGGATCGTCCCTGCACTTTTGCTGCCCTATTAAAAGCATCACATCAGGCAGCGCACGCCATGGTAAATTGGTAGCGGGTGCTGGGACCGGGTGCTATTTCTGGGGACCGTTAAAGACCAAGTCCGATAGAGGACGCATCAGGGATAGCTTCGGCCACGCATCAGGGATAGCTTCGGCCACGCAGAGTGATATCGTTAAAGAGAAGTTTTCTGACGCTTTTCCGCTGGTGCTCTGTCTAAATTTACTTTTAAACCATTTATGTCAAGAAACTGATGTGTACACACCTTTGACTCACCACTTATGGTCCCAAGCTTGCAGGTTTTATTGTAAATTTGCGTTTAAAGCAGGAAATAGCTTCATGAGGAAAGCCTGAAGGACATCTTTAGAGAAGAGATAAGTGAGAACAGAACGTCTTGCTCCTAAATATGACAAGATGTTGGTCGCTATCATTGTTTTTCTGCATTGTCTTTAAGCGTGGGGGATCATACGTGATCTTTCAGTAAAAAATTGTCTAGAATTTACAGGTAATGATGATCATCAAAATATGGGAAGAAGAAGCCTTTTACTAGAGGAGATCCAGGTGTTGTGGCAATTGCCGCATTAACCGAGTTTTGGGGAAGTCAACACCCCGATCTGCACATGATTGTATACAGTTTACTCTCAAGATTTCTCTCAATGACCACTTCTAATTACGCGTAGCTTAAAGTGGAAGATAAATAAAGGACACACATGAATTTTGAGATGTTTCCCGGGAGTAGAAAAATCTACAAAAACACTTTCTATTTACGCAGCTTTTTCGAGCGGTAAACGAACAGCTTATCAAGTTACGAATGACTTTTTGTTTCTCATTTAGTTTCTTCATACGCGACATCCTATGTTTACTTTTCTTTCACTTTTTACACATACAAAAATCCGATAGATTGTGAAAGCTTGATGATGGGACAATGCTTTGGATACTTTACATGGAACATGAAAGTTGTAGAACGACGCCCGTAAGGTCAACTTTGGCGGCCGCTTTCTTGTCGGACGCAAAGGGGAGCTAGAATTGTTGCATCATAGAATCGGATGGAAGAATGTGAAACCCTCAAACAAGAACAAATTGTGACATGATTTACGTCATAAAAGCTTGGAACGTAATAGTAAGACGAGCGACTTTCGAACGAAGGTCATCGCCGTTCCTCGCTTTTTGCGGCAGGACCCTTGGAAGGAAAAAAAAATGCCTCGAAGAAAAAGCACAGTCTCCACACACACTCGTTCAGCACAACCATCGATGTAATTACATTGCTTACCACAGGCGCACAGTGAGTCCTTACCCGTGGAATTTTTGGAATTGATCGACGGTTCCCACATCGAACCTTTTCTCCCCGCAGTCATGGTACTTGACCATCCTATTCACCTCGAGGAGGGGGATGACGAAGAAGACATCTTCGTCAGTCCTCAAACGCTCTCTACCATCAGGTGATTTCTAAATGACGCGACAACACGTCTTGTTTCTGTCCACTTTTCTTCGTTTCCTACCTCCTGCTCATGCCTTCTTCCTCATAAGCCCTTCGTCTCCCCAATTGTAAACCCATGATATGTAATATAGGCTGGAACTTCGGGCGGCTGTGGCAGATTTAAGTGCCCGGGGTTTAAAGTTAGCTGCGAAGTGGGCAGCCGAGCAGCTTGCTGGTCTGCGGTACGTACGAGAGGAGAGAGAATAAGTATATAACTTCTGAAATGAAGGTCAGACGTATTCGGAAAAGGACGGAGGGTGACGGATAAGTACACGCCTCCTATCCCTGGTGCACAGGCAACCATCCACCAATATGGAACGCCCTGCAGGGATTTTCTCGGGGCCCCGAGCCTGGGAGGGATGGGTGGAGGAGGAGGCGGGCGAGGACGAAGGCACTGCCCCTGCGGAGGTACGCACATGACCAGGAGGAGGTGGTTATGTATGGAGTGTGATCTCCACCATGATACGCTTGCCAGGCTGGGAAGACTTCCCTTGACGTGCCTTTTTCCCCGGGACTAGCGCGGTGTGTACCCCCACAGCTCCCTGAAGCGTACTATCTCGCTCCCGGATAATTCACCAACCTTCCATCCTTCCTCCCTCTTTCCCTTCCTCCCTCCCTCCCTCCCTCCCTCCTCGTCTCCCTCCTCGATTTCACGCTTTTCAGTTTAGCGACGCTTTTCTGGTGGCCAAGGCGTGCTTTGACACCGGTGAATACAGACGAGCCGCGCATGTTTTGCAAGTGGAGAAGGAGGAGGCAGGGATAGAAGGAGGGATGGAGGGGGGCGGCGAGGGAGAGGCCTCGCTCCCTGCTCGGACGATCAATCAGGAGGAATTGTTTCTACGGTCTTACGCCTCCTATTTGGCAGGAGAGAAGGTGAAGAGGACGGATGGGACTGTGTGTAGATAGGGTAGTGGCCCCTGACGATGGCGACTTCCCCCCCTCCCGCTCTCCCTCCCTCCCTCCCTCCCATTCTCCCCTCCTCCCTCCTTCTCTGTACTCGTCCGTTTTGTGCGAATGTCGGAGAAGTGCCATCTTTAGTATGTGGCACGATAGGAGGGATGTTTTGTCT